CCATGCATCATGTAGTGGGCAAATGGTCCACCAACACTAAGGAATAATATTCTTCTCCTCCTCTCCTCGATTTATTTTTCCTTGCTCCTGGTCCATTTTGGAATCCATCATCACTTGCAATTACAAGAATTGTGTGGATAGATGATAAAATTTGTCCTGCAGATTCATGCGGATTAAGCTTAAAGCTTAGAGGATTCTACTCGAGGATGTGTTCCTTCCATGGCTAACCATGTTACCATGCGAACAAGTAGACCATATAACTTTGAAAATAAGCTACGTGGGCCAACTTGAAATAGAATTCACACGAAGTGGGTGGTAGATTCTTCTATCGATGGCTTGATGGGATGCTCTAAACAGGGCTTCTCAAGCTTACCAATTTAAAGCTTTTGGTATTTACTCTTTTATTAATCTCAACTCCTCATGATATTGTGTGCTGTTTTAAACTTCAAACTTTAAAGGAGGAGGAAAAGAGCATATAGGTAAAGAGGCATGCTTATTAAGAGCATCTCCCCTGTTGTTCCTGGAAAGAGGGTGTGGAGTCATGCCCTTGTTCATATTTTTTTTTCAACAACGATAGTTTTCACTAGTCATACGAGTGTAGGCATTGGGCACGGATAACTTATCTTGCATCAATAGGAATATCAGTTTGGCCGGGTTTATCGTGTTTTAAAGGTCTTTTTGTTCTTTGCTTACGGGAATACCGAAGCACTATCATTAGGGGGATTACGTGCTCTGGAGGCTTTCATTGACCCCCTCTTAAAATACTAAACTTTCTTCTTCAAATCCTGCTAAGGTCTTTGTTCTTTGCTTACGGGAATACTGAAGCACTGCCTCATGCCAATACTCAAATTGAATTAATGCTCCATTAGCATAGCAACAGATGCAATTTACTTTCTGCATGTCCAGTGAGTCTGTGTATGTACGGTAGTTTTGAAACGGCGTGGTAAGTCGACCTGGGCCAACCCGGGACTGAAATTGATACAGGTTAAAAAAAATAGAAAATGAAAAAAACTGGTGTAACCCGGATGACCTGGAGGATTGACTCAAAATCTAGTTAAAAATCTAATTATAGGTTGTTAATTTTTTTATTAAAATAATATTATTTTAATTATTTTAAAAAATTAACTTAAATAACTCCATAATTTGATTAAAACCTGATATCTCAGTCAAAATTTAAAATTTAAAACAGACCGAGTATAAAGAGTATGGTGGCAGGTTTAAAGCGGAAGGTACTACACATGGCGAAGACTTCCAAGGACTGCACAGAATAAGAAGGTGGCAATGACTTGGAAAACTACTACAGGGTTTGAGTTGTTGCTGTTAGGGGAGGCATGATGGAACACACATCACTTGTATATTATATTTACCATTATACTGGAGAAATTTAAATGGATTTCTAGTTAGATGACAAATCATTACTTTATTCATATATTTACACTAGTCTAAGGATAATTATAAACACTTGGAACAAGATAATCACATTATTATGCATCTAGAAGAACTATACAAAGAACTTCTAATTTATACTTCAAATTTTAATTTTGAAGATCTCAAGTCTCTTAAAGTTTGAAAATATGATGGGGAAGCTTGCAAATTGCAAAATAGTTTCTTCTTTTTGTGACCATTTTCCTTGGCATTTATCTTGTGAATTTCTTGGATTACTATTTTAGTTATTTTAAATTATCATAACTAGTTAATGGCACTTCATTATCATTTCTTTAAGATTTCTTTTTTTTTTAACAAATATATTTGTTTGAGCATGCCTCTCTGAGCCATTTTTCTTATTTGATTGCTATTATCATATTCTTCATCATGGTTTTTTGGCCATATCCCTTTCTTTTTTTTTCTTTTTTTTTTAAAAGGAAAACTCTCTCTCCTTTTCTTCATGTGTGATTTTGATTGCACAATATATCTCTTATGCAAGGATTTTTGAAGGCATTCTATTAAATAAGTATATTGCTATAGTAATAACATCATCCCAATATCAAGAAGGGACATGTGCTCCTTATATCGTCTCTAGGATATGTTAATTTTTCCTATCAGTATTTCCATTTTGTTAAGGATTTTGGGGATAAGATGTTTTATAGATGAGACATTTTGTTGGAAATGAGCTTTGAATTTTGTATTAATAAATTCACCTCCATTATCACTAGAAAGTGCTTTAATTTTAGCTGAAAATTGTGTTTGGATCACGACATGGAATGATTGAAACACACCAAACACTTTATCTTTACATTTAAGTAAATACTACCATATCATCCGATTATAATCGTCAATAAAAATGATGAACCACTAATGGAGTAGTAATAAAGAAGGGTCCTCAGATATTTGAATGTATCAAAGAAAATGGCTTGTCTCTTCTAATGTGGCTTTTGAGGTAAGGAACATAATGGCTCTTAGTTGCAATGCATGTCTCATATTTGAAGGATGAAGGTTGTACTGTGGAAAACAAAGCTGGAACTAAATGTTGCAGATATCTAAAGGAAGGATGTCTTATGTGATTGTGAAATAACCAAATATATCATTCCTTATCACTAGCAGTGTATTGAACCTAATTCACTTTCCCAGTACTAAGAACATCTATGGAGTAAAGTGTCCCTTTTTTAGTGTCAAACCTAATGATCTTACTGGTGAGAATATCATGAAAAAGACAAAAGTTAGGATGCATTAACATAACACAATTAAGGGTAGTTGTAAGTTGACTAATAACGAGTAATTTATTTGATAAGAATGGAACAAGTAGGGTATGGTGTAGGGAGAGGGAGGAAGATAATGTCACAGTTTATGCTCTCGTGACTGGATGTTTGAATCCATTAGCATTTGCAATGCAAGTTCTTTTGGGTTTAGTAGTATATGAGAAATCATGGGGATCAAACATCATATGATCAATAGCCCTAAAGTTTATAACCTAACTGTTGTCATTATGATCTTGACATGTAGCCAATGTATGTTTGCAATTACCTTGCTTGTTGGAGTATGTTAAAAGATTGTTGATTATAGTTGAGCAATTAAAGACAAATATAGTTTGGCATTTGCAATAACTTTTCTCACTGTGCCTTTATTTATGCTAGTGCTCTCACATTTCTTCTTTGTTTGGAAATCATTCCACCTCTTAGGATATCCATGCAACTTAAAATAGGTTTCGCAAGTATTTTTCAAGTACTACAATGAATGCATTTCCCTTCATCAGGTTGACATTTTGGTTTTGTTCAATTGCAGGGAATGGTTACAGTTGGAGAACATCACCATGAACCTTGTCTATTCGATCATCTAAGCCATCAAGAAATGTATAAACTCCTTTTATTGTAGAATAGAATTGTATTTCTAAATATCCTCTACATATATCTTAGAAATAAGAGGATAAAAATCAATTTTACATCATAAGCCTTGCATATCAGTGTAGTATTTTTCAATGGACCCACATAGCTGCCACGTACGAGTGGGTTATATATCGCCAAAGATCGTAAAATTGTGTTGTATTGGTTCCATAAAAAAGGTTGTAGCTATGGAATCTCATACCTGTTTAGCAGTTGGGAATCGAATAAAGTTTCTAATCAGAGACGAATCCATTGAGTTAATAAGCTATCCTTTAACAATAGTGTTTTTATTCTTCAATTTTTGGAAATATGAATCAATTTCAAGGGTTGAGAAGCATCACTGGTAATGTATTTCAGTTTATCTTTTCCTAAGATATGCATCTTCACAACCTGAGATCATAATATATAGTTGTTTCCTAAGATATGCATCTTCACAACCTGATATAGTTCTAGATGCATCAAATGAAACTTGAGAAGAAGTCTGGACTTGGTTAGGGCTTCTGTTAATTTCTTTATCCAATCATCTAGACTAGACTTTGCCATGGTTGTAAAGGGGACATGCAGAGAGGAAGGGAATTTGGTAGAACAAGAAAGTTGTAGAGATAATACGATCCTGCTTTGATTCCATGATAACAATAATAAATATTTCTATTTTTTCTTTTATCTTATGAAGATATATTGTCTAGGTTTATGTAGATACATAAGAGCTATTTTTGGATGTGCAAGATTAAAGGCTATAACTATGATTGTCTCTTAAAGTAAAGGACTTTACAAAACTTTTCAGAAATTAATTGATTTGATTCTTGTATAACAGTTTATGCCAACATATACTAGCTTTAATATCATGTTAAAAAAAAAATGGTGGAACAAAAAGAATAATTAATGAGACACACAATTCTATTTTATATCATATATATTACTCTTCCAAAAAATAAGTTTCTACGAACATAAACTTATATTACAATACTCATGAGTATTCATGCACAAAAATAAATAAATAAATAAATAAAAGGAACTTTAAATTTAGACTTCAAAATTAATTTCAACATTTTCAGCATTGCAGCTCCAAATAATTTCCAACATGGATGGATTCGTCTTCCCAAATATCTTTGCATTGCAGCTTCTATAACTAACATGCGGTGGCCATTGATGTTCTCAGCTTATCATTTTTTATTGAAATCTGTTAATAAATGAGTGAACATTTACTGCTAAGGCAATATCATTACTTTGATCTATCATGCCTGCAGAATGGGAGCAAATTGACATCTCCTGATGTTTTTTGCACGGAGAGTGAAAGACAAGCACCGGAGAACAACTGAACCTGTACAATTCGGCACTGGGTGCCCAGGTCCAAATTCTTCTATGTGTACTCTGGGCCAGTCTTTAAAGACTTCGTCTATGCCCACCAAGCTGCTTAAATATTTAAAATCAACTTGGAATTATCTGCAACAAGAAATTATCCCCCTAAGATGGTGGAATATTAGACTAAGAACCCAGCCGAATTGTTGTATTCTTGTAATTGGATGGCTGAGTTGTGCAGCACTTACGGAATAGGACACTTCTGGCAGACGAAGGTGCAGAGAGAAAGAGAGACCCCTTTTCCCAATACGAAACAATCAGTAGAATGCACTGAATCATCCTTTCCCATCTACAGGGTCGGTTAAAGTCCAACAAAGATTTGCTCTTCTTTTTCCATTCCATGTTTTAAAATCAAGAACAGAAGAAGCTGATCAATTAATTTAGAGCCTGCTTGTATGACCTCAGTCATGCACGCTTTTTCATTGATGGCAATCCGAGGTGTGTTGTGTGCCTAACAATAGGTAAAGCAAGGACAGTGTTTTCAAATGTGAGGATAGTACACAAGGTTCTATCCTCCCAAAGTAAGGTCAATCCTCATGACAAGACAACATGGAGGAGGGGAAAGCAAAAGGTTTCCAAAAGGGCTCTTAACAAGAGAGAAATGGTCTTATGTGACATATCCATTGGCCTACACTGCTTGACAAAAGGGAATTACCTTTTCTTATTTTTCCTTTTACTTTGTGGCCTTGAGAGCAACGACCATTTCCTTTATAACTGCCAATATTTAACTAGCGCCAAAAGCTTGTTATCTTCGCTATCAAAAAAGACCACCTATCTCTATCACATAATTTACGTTGTTGATTTCTGTATAATCTATGCCTATGTGATTCTAAGAGTAAGAGATGGAAGAAGAGAAATATGTTCCGGCAAGTTCTATGCGGTACAGTGCACGAATCATGTCGCCAGAAATCGTAGAGATAGGGGATGATAGCAAGACTATTACTAACAGCATAGATGGAATCAGTGATGATGTTTATGTAGCTGTTGGTAAAAATGACACAGATGTACTGAAGTGGGCTCTAGATCATGCTGTTTTACCTGGAGCTCAAGTTTTTCTAGTCCATGTTTTTCCTCCTCTGACATATATCCCTACACCAGGTAAACCTTTATATCCTACCAGGCTGTTCATGTTGTTAGAGTAATCGAGCTTAGAGGGATGAATTCTTGCTTCTCTGAGGAAGAAAAGATGATTATGCTTCTTCCAGAGTGACCTGATGTAACGTACACCAACACATCTGATCAACTAAAATAATGAATATCTGCTGCTCATGAGGTTACACTAGTCAATGTACTGATATGTCTAGAATAACTAAGTGATATGGATTTTGTTCTGAATTTCTCAAGTCAAAACCTTGGAATCTATGCAGTCCCTATGTAGCAATTGACCATTTAAGAAGATGACTTGAGTCTACTTGTGGCCAGAACTAATGCAGGGGAAATCTGATTAGGAAAATCAGACTTTGTTATTGTGTGGACCATCATATATATTGATGACATGAATCATCGGAGGTCATAAAGCTGCCAGACTGTATAGGCTATGTTTGACATGAACAAGTAGAGTTGTTTTCTCGCTTGCCACATCCCAATGTTGGGGAGCATGGCAGGTTTAATTATTTTACAGTGCCTTATACTCTTTTTAATCGTTTGTTGACAGTTGGAAGGTTATCAAGGAGCCAATTAAGTCAAGATCAAGTGAGATTTTACATTAATGAAGAGAATAACAGGAGGAGGAACCAGCTGCAAAAATACATTCGCCTGTGTGCCAATGCCAAGGTGCGGATAATGGCAACTCTATATTGCTACTCAATAACTCATCATTCACCAAGAGCATTGATACCAGAACTTGTTTCGTGTGACAGGTGACAGTAGATACAATGCTGCTGGAGAGCAATCTGACTGCCAAAACTATTCTAGAACTCATTCCTGTTCTCAACATCACCCACCTTGTCATGGGAAACAAACGCCTACCTTGCTCAAGGTGCAGATGCTTGTTTTCTATATAACCCCTCATAACTGATGTGCTGTGCTTTCTGAGATTTGAAAAAATCTAGATTGTAGCTGACAAAGCTGTTCATCCGAGTGCCAATTCGACTCATATTTCACATGGACTGCAAGAAGGCTATATAATCCGCTCAACCAATCTATGCTAACGAATAAACTAATCGATGAGCTTATTGTCGTATGCTTGCAGATAGACGTTAATAGTCAACAATCAATTTAATGATTTCATCTCCATCCTTGCAGGCTGCTAAGGAAAAAGTTGGGAAAGGGAGAATTCGTGAAGAAGAAAGCTCCAGACTATTGTGAGGTTAGTATTATTCATAATGGAAAGAAGATCATGGATGGTAAGAATGGGATAGAGCCAGTGTCATCCTGTGCCCAAAGACCAGATGTTATCCGCAGCTCTGCTTACAAGTTTTTCAACCTTCCATGTTTCCCAGGCAAGTTGAAAAATGGATAGCATTAATGCTTACATTGTTATAGTTTTCTATCAGTTTCTACGAAGAAAACGACGTTTCCTGTCTCATCCAGCTTGTAGGAACATGGAGATAGATTCTTAAGATCTTATCCCAAACAGAAGAAGAAGAAGAAGAAGAAGAAACAGCCGGCAATACTGGAAAGACCAGCAGGAGCAACCCAAAAACTCTCAAATACAAGGTGGAAGCTGAAGGAAACAGACTCCCGGTGGCTACCATTTTTTTGAAGACTACAACTAACACTATATCAATTTCCGTGTTTGTACTAAAAAATATATTAAATACAAAGATGTAATGTAAATCAAACCAATGAATGGAAGTCGAAATCCTCATATATATATATATATATATATATATATATGATTCCCTTCTTTCTTGCTTTTATGATGAATTTCTCATGGATATTGGTTTCTTTTAGGAGTGAAGATACACATACAAGGAAATGGAGAAGGAATCTTTTGGATTCTCAAAGCATTTCAAGCGTTTTAAAAAAAATTACATTTTTTTATTTTTCATTTTAAATTAATGTTTTTTTAATGTTTTTAAATTATTCTAATAATTAAAAATATAAAATAAATATTATTTTAATATATTTTAAAATAATAATATTTTAAAAAATAATCATTACACAAGTAAAAACAGCTTGCTAGACCTCTCCCTTGTGTTTTTTCCATTTAATCTACATGTTAATGGTATAATAAATAGTACTTGTTAATCCCTTCTATGACCTTGTTAGTAGTGGTAGGGCCCTACAAGTGTCTATCGTAAAGACCACGCGTCGTTCAAGAGTTTCCGACAAATCGTTTACGAAGAAGCCTAAAAGCCCAAGCCGTCTTATTAAATCTGATGAAAAATATTTTCTTGAATATATTTTTATGGCTATATTATAAATTAATTGATCAATAAAATTCAGTTTGCAATTAAAAAATTAAATAAATTTTAAATAGGAAGAAGTGTTTTTTAGTTTGGGAAAATAAAAAAATAATCTTAATGACGACCTCAAAAATTAAAATGATGCAGTATTATGGGAAAATAAAAAAATCTTAATGACGAACTCAAAAATTAAAATGATGCAGTATTATTTATATTTATATAGAAAATATTATATTAAGATATAATATAAAAGTGAATTTGATCATATTAATAGATTTAATTAATATTATTTTTTAATGTGAAATTTTTTTTTTTGGAAGCAGTATTATTTATATTTATATAGAAAATAATATATTAAAATATAATATAAAAGTGAATTTGATTAAATTAATAGATTTAACTAATATTATTTTTTAATGTGGAAAAAAATATTTTGGAGTTTTAAAATTAAAAAATATCAATAGATTTTATTTAAAAAAAATATTTGGAAAGTTTATATATTTATAATATTATATTTAAAATATTTAGGATATATGTATTCAGCGAATAAAGGAGGCTCAAAGAAAAAAAATATCTTTCCCGCGATCTGATAAAATAAATACTCTCCCCTCTCTCTCTCTCTCAAACTTCCAACACGAAGAAAACTCAAATCGAATAAATCCTAGCCCAAGCAAGCTCCAATCAGTGATGAACCCTTACGACAACCGCTACTCCGACCCCGACTCTTACCGTCACCGTCACCATCGCAGGCAATTATATTCTCTCAGTTTTGATCGAATAATCCTTTTTTTCTTAATTTAATCTTGGATTCTTATGTTAACCGGCTCTGTTTTTCAGTGACTTAATGGGCCAAAAAACTCCAGTGGTACCCACAATGATGGGGCCTTTTCCTCGTGGCGGTGGTGCTGGGGTTCCTCCGCCTCCGTCTTTTGCGGGTAGAGGCGGTCCCCCTCCAGGTGGTGGAGGTTATCCTGCTTTTGAGCGACCTGCTAGTGGATTCAGTGTTGGACGAGGTGGTGGTGGTGGTGGAGGAGGAGGAGGGGGATTTAGTGGTGGCCGAGGGTCTAATTTTCATGGTGGGGATAGAAGAAATGATGCTGGCCGTGGGAGAGGCTGGAATTCTGGTTCTGGCCGTGGTGGTGGTGGTGGAAGAGGGGGGAGGTTTGGAGGGGGAGATCCAAGGAGAGAGTTGGATAATATTGCACTTCCAAAGCAGGATTTTGGGGACTTGGTGCCTTTTGAGAAGAACTTATACTTCGAGAATCCTTCTATTAGGTCTATGTCGGAACATGAAGTGGTTACGTTTCGTGCTAGAAGAGAAATTACTGTTGAAGGTCATGACGTGCCTAGGCCTATTCGAATTTTTCAAGAGGCCAATTTCCCTGGTACTTCAAATTCTTGTCACATCAATGCTTATATGGTTCGTTTTGAAAATTTACGTATTATTTTAGACTGATTGATTTAATTTTATGTGGTAGATTACTGCTTACAGGTGATTGCTAAGTTGGGTTTTGTTGAGCCAACGCCAATTCAAGCTCAAGGGTGGCCAATGGCTCTAAAGGGTAGAGATCTAATTGGCATTGCTGAGACTGGTTCTGGTAAGACACTGGCATATCTGCTACCAGCTTTTGTGCATGTTGCTGCTCAGCCTCGATTGGGTTAGTATTGATTGCCTTTCTGGTTAGGTTGAATTTTTGAAGTTGTCACATTTTATTGTGTGATATTTATTGTTTTAAACTTTATTGCTGTCTAGTACATGGTGATGGTCCGATTGTGTTAGTATTAGCTCCTACAAGAGAGCTGGCAGTTCAGATTCAAGAAGAAGCTTTGAAGTTTGGTTCAAAGGCGAATATTAGGAGCACATGCATATATGGCGGTGCTCCCAAGGGACCCCAAATTCGTGATCTTCAAAGAGGTATTTTCTGTTTTGGGTAGCTTGTTATGCTATTTGCAAATCTAAGCAGATTGAGATTGGTGAAGTATGGTAGTGATTCAGGATCTGTCTTATGCCAGGTGTTGAAATTATTATTGCTACCCCTGGTCGACTAATAGATATGCTGGGAGCTCAGCACATGAATTTGCGAAGAGTCACATACCTAGTGTTGGGCGAGGCTGATCGCATGTTGGACATGGGCTTTGAGCCTCAAATTAGGAAAATTGTATCTCAGGTAAGCATCTGTCTTTAACTTCCTCCTGCAATAATGTGGCCATACAAAACCTGGAATTTTAATGAATGTTCTTATTGAGATAATTTGACTTTTGGTAAGGTACTTGGATTTTTCATGCTAATTTAAAGGAATTCACACTGAAGTAATTTGTATTTTTTGCCAGATGGCCGACCCAGAAACTGTTATTACAATGGAATTTCATTAGTCAGGAAGTCCTTTGAAACTGAATTCTAAGAGGTCTATTTTTATCGCAGATTCGACCAGATAGGCAGACATTGTATTGGAGTGCAACATGGCCCAGGGAAGTCGAAGCTTTAGCAAGGCATTTTTTGCATAATCCATACAAGGTCTCAGTCATAGTTGTCCCCAATTGCCATCATATAAGTGTTTTGGGTTTATTGTTATTTGCTTGTTATAAAGGCATGTTCACCCAATATTGTTGAAATTTTTACCGTGTTTAGGTTATCATAGGATCGCAAGATTTAAAAGCAAACCAGTCTATAAAGCAAGTTGTTGAAGTCATGATGGACCTGGAGAAATACAAACGGTTTGTCTCAGCAGCTTGTAGCAGAGAAAAATTGATGTTTTAGCATGTTGATATAGCTACTTTAATATGTCTAAATCTATGCAGGCTGATCAAACTGCTGAAAGAAGTGATGGATGGAAGTCGAATTCTAATATTCATGGAGACAAAAAAAGGCTGTGACCAAGTTACAAGGCAGTTGAGAATGGATGGATGGGCAGCTTTGTCCATCCATGGTGATAAAAACCAGGCTGAAAGGGATTGGGTCCTGGCGGAATTCAAAAGTGGCAGAAGTGCGATAATGACTGCCACTGATGTTGCTGCACGGGGTCTTGGTAGGATCATTATGTGTTGGAATCCTAGGTCTATTTGCATCTGTCTAGAAATTTGAAGATAGGCAAGTCGGCCGGCTGCTATCCAGTTTTCCCTGAATATAGTCTGTGGTATGGGTGCAAAGCGAGCTACCAATATGAATAATCACCCACTGATTGCTGTATTAACATGTAAGCATGGTTCTTTACTTCAAAGGGATTTCAAAGTTGGATTGAGTGGCACCTTGGTTTCTCATATTCACTAGAATATCCCATTAGCTACAGCTCATGTTTCATGGACACAAGGAGCACTGCCCATTGGTGTTGTGGACAGCTGTATAAGATTTATTCTGTGACTGGGGAAGTTGCATTTCTGTTTCTGCATGGAAGAAAAGTAATCTAAAATCTGGCTTTCATGAGGCAGTAATTTGCAGAATTCCCAAATATCGCATAGCTCCAACTAACAGGTGTCTGCATAACATGTTTGCAAGCGATTGTTGCCCATCCACAGATATGGAGCTGGTTTATCTCGGCAGCCGGGTTGACTGACATGTTTATTAAATAGCTGGATATGGAAATAGTGGTGGTGAAGCTGCTCCTTATCCCTGCAAGGTTAAGGTGGGCACATTTGTCTCTTGAATGTGTTATCTTAAATTGATCATTTGGATCTTAGGGGTGCGGGGATAAGGGGGTGTTCATACATTTCTAGAGCCGCGAATCAGGCTAGCATGGTGACAGGCATGCTTATCCTAAGAGGCTCCAGTCCAGATTTTTATTTAGCTACCTTATGTCAAGCTTTGATAGCTTTACTTTGAGAATGAAAATCCTGAAGGCCGAGTAATCTCTTGATCGAGAATCAAACAATGTTTTCATTTTGTTAATTATCTCTAGTAGAATGAGCTATCTTTCATAGCTGAGTTTGTCTTGGGGCGTATAGTCCTTATGTGTATTCAGTGAACTTTATACATCAATTATTTTCACTTAACTTCTACTTTAATTGCTTGTAGATGTGAAGGACATAAAATGTGTGGTCAACTATGATTTTCCTTCCAGCCTTGAGGATTATGTTCACAGGATAGGCCGAACTGGTCGAGCAGGAGCTAGTGGAACTGCCTTAACCTTTTTCACAGAGTCAAATGCAAAATTTGCTAGGGATCTTATTAAAATTCTGCAAGAAGCAGGGCAGATTGTGCCTCCATCGTTATCTGCTATGACTCGGTCAGCTGGTTCTTTTGGAGGTAAATATATGTGGACGTGTTAATCAGGATTGAATGCCAAGTCTATTCAAGGATGATGAATCTCAATTATTTCTCATGTTCATATCTTCTGCAGGTAACTTCCGTTCCAGAGGAAGAGGTGGCTTCAGCAACCGCCGGATGATTTCAGGATCCAATACCGTGCCCCTTGGTGCTGGTAGACCTTGGTAATTTAGCGAACAATTGCAGCTTCTACTGGCATCATCAACAAACAAGCTTTAGTTATGTTAAGAAGACTATCTCTGCGAGTGGGTGCATTCGTATTGAAATGAAGGGTTAAACAATGCTGTAACTAATAAAGTATAGGAATTCGTGTATTGGCAATTCATATTTATGTGATTGTAACTTTAGGTTGGCGTAACTTTTGAGCATAGGTGATTAGGTTCTCTGTTGTGGTTTGCTTAATTCTTGATGTGGTTACTCAAATATCCAAAGCCAATTTAACCGGCAAAGGTATAATAGAGCTTGTGTTTTTGTTAATGGTGAATCTCTTGAAAAACAGGAAAAATGATAAGAGAGAGTGCCCGTTGATACACCGCAAACAATTCTTCAATTAGTCTATGCCGTCCTGCACTTTTCTAATGAATGGTTTTCAAAACTGTAAATTAATAAATTAATGATTTTCGGCACAACAGAACCATGTAGTGGCTGTTCAGCATGATGTTCTTCGTCGCCTCCAATGCTTTATGTATTCAGGGCACAACTGATCTCTGGTATTTGAGCTTCATGTCTGCAGCAGGGCTTAGGAGGATAGCACCATCATTTTTCTATCGCTTCAAGGAGGTCGAATCCCGTATAATTAATCTAGATGCCTGAAAACATGAGCATCGTCAATGACAGATTTTCTCAGCTTCCAAGCATCATCAATGGCAGATTTTCTCAGCTTCCAATTCGGCAACAATGGTGTCCTCCTCCTCCACATGAAACGCAGTCAAATCTGTACGGTACATACTTCACCCAAGTTTCCATTGCTTGAACGAGGTATTATCTCTCTTTATTTGAGGCAAAAATCACTATGAAAGCCCACCATGATCCCCTTCAATAATAGGATAAGTCACTCCTTATTGCAAAAATAAATAAATAAATAAATAAAATAAAATGTGTGGCAAAAATACTTTAGCAAAAGAGTGATTAACTGGAGATTGAAATAATGAATTGATGTCTTTGTCCTTGACAAATAAAGATTAAATGAATTGACTTTGAAAGGATAAATGGTATTATCATGGAGTTTATTTGTTGTTCTATAATTATAATTGGTAGTAGTATTAATCCGGGTGGATTTGTATATTTTTTTGTGTTTATTTTTTTATCAAAAAATTTAATATTTAATTAATTAAAAATTAAGTTTTATAATTTTTTTTATATAGTTAATATTTATAGTCAAGTGGCCTTCTGCATAAGTTTTGAAAATTAGATTTTAAGATTTTCTTATCAAGTTATCCAATTTTATTACTTAATTTATGATCTATTTTATTTTTAAAAAAATAAAAAGAAAGGAATATTAAATTAAAAAAACTATTTATTAATTTTTAGAAGAATTATTTCTGCAAACAAAACATGATTCCTTAGTGATTATGTTTATACTAGCAATACAAGTTTTTTATAACTTTTTTATATTGTTTTTTTCCCACTATTATTTCTTTCTTTTTCCCAACACCACTTACGGTCTTATGACCCCTTGGCCCCACATGATAAAGGCATGGGCAATACGCCTGCACCCCCCCTGTGTAGATGGATCGAAATCCTTGTCATAATAAAAGTGTATTTTCTCAACCTTTTATGTGTTTCCCCAGTGTTTTGAACCCGGCCTGACCCGACAGGTCAACTCGAGATCTGGTTGATTTGGAATTGAAACTAGAGTAGGTTGATGAAAAAATAGGGTAAGTCATGATCCAGTCGACTCAGCTAGTTGATTTAGCTGGTTGACCCAGCAAAACCCGGTAAAAAATCTGGTTGCAACCTGTTAATTTTTATTTTTTTACTAAAACGATATCGTTTTAAATTTTTTTTAAAATAAAAATTGACCCAGCTGACCGAATAACCCGATTAAAACTCGATGACCCCGTCAAAACCTGAAATCAGGTCTTGGACCTCTCCGGCCACACCGGGTCTAAAAACTTTGGTTTCCCCCTTCCTCCATGTCCTTTTCCGTCGTTTTGGGGAGTGGAACTCAATTTCATGAGAGTCATACTAGTCGACCGCATAAAAGTACAAAATCAGAATTAAAAAAAAAAAAACAATAATCACCTCATGGTAGTTGCCTTTGCAAATTTCCTCTCAGAAAACGTGGCTGAAGAGCACAAGTAAAGAATAATTAGGAGATGGTAGTCGTTATTTTTTGAAATATATTTTATTTAAAAATATATTAAAATAATATTTTTTTTATTATTTTAAAATTATTTTTAATATCAATATATTAAAATAATTTAAAAATACTAAAAAAATATTAATTTAAAATAAATAAAAATATTTTTTAAAAAATATTTTTAAAATATAAAAACAAATATGCCGGAAATTTATTAATTACTATTCTTCTCTTCTTTGTAAAGATAGCAATTAGCATATTTTCTCAAGTGTACAAATGTAATGATCAAGAAAAAAAAAAAAAGACAAAAATCTCTTTGGCGAGACATCTTTGTCTGTTGATGAGACAAATGCCTGGTTTGCCAAACTAACCAAAACTGAAATTTTTGTCCATGGAAAATAAATACAATGACAAGGGTCAACGAACTAAAAAAACAAGTTGATGGCTTGATCAAAGCCTAGCGAGCATTGCAATCAATTGCCATAATGAAGGGCTGGTATTCAGCCTCATCAAGTTGTGTTTTTTTTTTTTT